CTATTGATCACTGAATCTAATCCTCTTCTTCCCTCTTTTCTCCACCATTTCATTTAATGAAAGTATTCCCTTCTGTTTTGTCACAATCACAGTTAATAACACATAATCTTCTAAAGTAGAAGTTTAGAAACAGACCTGATCTGTTTTGATTCTGATTTAGAGCAGTGCTGGTTGGACCTATCTTTATTTTTAAGGTATGTCGCAGACTCTTTCAAATCCTAAATTCCTTGGAATCTGCTCAAGTCAAATGCACTGCCCTTAATAGGAACTATTTCTGTTTAAAGATGATATATGCAGACTAAAGGTAAGTGCTACATTACTTTGTTCCATTGCAACTGATTGAGCAAAAATATGATATTGAAAGGCTGAGTAGTTACACCAGCATTAATTATTAATTTGCTATTATGATTCTAATGTGGAAAGCAATATACTTTTATATTATGGTCAGATATGGGGATTAATGTATGAGACTGCAATTCTGCATACACTTATCCAGAAATAAATTCTTTTTAATTCAATACTTGTTTTACGTAAAATTGCATTACTTATGGATTCTGAATCAAACACTGAACATTAAGTAGCAATCTGTATGTGCCCCATTCCTCAAAAGCTAAATGTCTTGCTGTACTAAACAGGTTAAGTCACAATGAATTACGGGAAATCCTGATTCCAGATGGAATGTTAAAATTAAATTGTGCAGGATTGTATTATCATGGACTGATTTTGAAAGCATCCTTGCCATTCCAGGAGCAGCAATTCAGAAGAGATATGGGCAAACAAACTTCCCTGAAATTCCTGTCTAGTTAAGATAACTAGTACAATAAACTATAATCTATCTCAGGATCCGTGGACCAGATGCGATCCATGGACCGGATACGGCTTGCACAGGGATACATCACGATATGGCCCATGATGCGATCGGGTTTGACACTCTGATCTATCTGCTTTGTAAGGTGTTGTTTCCGAGGAGTGAAATGAGTGAATTTAACTTAAGAACTTCAATAGAATCAGCAACCCTTAATGTGGTATTACCATTTCTTTTTAAAAGAAAGGAAGAAATATAATTGAAAGGTAATTGTATATTAAGTCTTGTTCTATAAACAAATACAATGTAACTTCACAAAACTTTCCTAATTTACAAGTATGAAAATATCTGGAAAATTATTAATTATTAAATAAAGACACAAATAACTTTTTAAAGCACAATATGAAATTTTGTTGAAAAGTCTGGAAAAGAATGGATATAGCCAGTTCTGTTGCAATAGAAATACAGAAACAGAAATCTAAACACTTGCAGAACTGAACATAATTGAATTAAAACACAGAAGACATAAAAACTGCACATTTTTCATATAATTCTCTAATCCACTGTCCAATTTCATTAAACAGTATCCTTTTACAGTTTTCTAGAAGTTAAAATTATCTATGGAAAGTGGCATGGCCATTCCACATCTTGCATATTTAAGATCACTTGATATAAATTGCCTATTAACAAATATTATTCCAATGACAAAGATGGAATATTATTTACTAAATGATATACTTACATATTTTTAGTGATTCTACATGCAAAACCAAAGTAATAAATTATTCTACAACAGAATGTTCTGTAATAATTAGCACATCAGACATATCAGTTTCTTATGAATTCTTATTACACACTTCCATACTACATCCAAGCAGAATGTACTAAGAAACATTATGTTTGGTATGATGGTCAAAAGTATTTCTTTCAGGACTATTGATAAAATCTTATTTCAAGAAAGTTCAAAAAATATCTACCATACCTTTTAATAAGTTTTTTAGGATTAAGTTTCATGGATAAACTTGTTGCTGATGATATGGCATTCTGTTTGCCAGGAAGTTTATATAATTTACTATCATTATTAGGTGTCAATTCCTCTTTCTTAACTTTCTATCATATTCTAGGCAGGGTAGGCTATATAGATGACTCTCACCGAGTTCATTGGACCAAGTAAGCAGGATACAAATTGAGACACACAAGGCGACCTGTTTCTCACTGGGGATCATACAGACTGGGGATGAAGTAAACACTGTCCCTGAAAGTATGTCTTTACTATGCCTTTACTTTCTCCCACATAAGTGAAATGACAGGTATACTTGGCTGCAGTTTTCTCATTCAGGCAAAGGTATGACCACTTCCAATTTTCAATTCTCGATGGTTGTTTCTATCAAAAGTAATTAAAGGTAGTCCTCAACTTACGACAGTTCATTTAGTGACCATTCAAAGTTACAAAGGCACTGAAACAAGTAACAACCGTTTTTCACACTTATGACCATTGCAGCATCCCCATGGTCACATGATCAAAATTTGGATGCTTGGCAACTGACTCTATGATGCTTGCATTGTCCTGGGGTCATGTGATTGCTTTTTGTGACCTAACGAGCAAAGTCAATGGGAAAACCAGATTCACTTAACAATCGCAAGAATGGTTGTAAAATGGGGCAAAACTCACGTAACAAATGTCACACTTAACAAATGTCTCACTTAACAACAAAATCTTAGGCTCAGTTGTGGTTGTAAGTCAAGGATTATCTGTATGTTGTACATCCAAATCAAATTGGCTGAAGATGATGCACTTTTACTTTTCAGGATTTGAAGTAAGTGAAGTGGGTGATAGGGTAGAAAATTAGGCAGATAAGCAAGAATTTCCCCTTTGAAAACTCAAGCCCAATTTTTAGGTTTGATATAGAGAAAGCCTCTGACATACATGCCATTTGGAAGAATAGATACCTAACAGATTTGCCATGAACATGTTTGCTTTGTCTGAGGGAATGTTTTCCAAGGATAATGGGAGTCCATGATGGAATGGTTCCTTAACCCTTCAAACTTAAAAGTTAGCCATTTTTCTGGTATTCCTGAGGTGTAAGATTTAGATTTTTATCCAATTAACTACATTTGAATACACGTGTGTGTGTCTGTGTGTGTGTGTGTTTGTATGGATGAATTGTTGCCTAAAATAATTTAATTTTCAACTTAAAATTATGACCGATTCCTTTTCTCATAGAGGATGAGCTAACTGCATAGCTTTTTTTTTTTTTTCCTTGACACCATGAATCCACATTGATACAAACTTCAGATACTTCCTGGAATTAAAATTCAAGGGAAATTGAAACACAGTAAATAATTTTATACTTTTCACACAGTATGTGAAGGGGCTGGATTGACCTCAGCAGTTTTTTTTTTCCCCTTTCCCAAGATTCAAGCCAATGTTATTTTATCATTTGGGACATATACTTCTGATACATTTAATCATTTCAGTTGCCACATTTTTTGCAACTAAATCATCTCTTTCACCACCAGCCAGAGAAAGCATTAACTTTCTGTTCTTTTTCTTTCCCTGCTGGCTTGCTTTGTAAGATGACATTAGAAAACTTAGTTTCAATTTATTAAATACTTTGTTCCGTTTCATTAAGGAAAAAAAAAATACAAATTCCCAGAGAGAAACACTTTTTAAACTTCTGTCAACAGTATGCATTGAAGCACTAACTATGGAAAAAAATGGTTGGGAGTTAAAACCCAAGGCACAAGGTCAGAAAAACAAAGTCACTAGCAGTTCTTAAAGCTTTTGAAACGCCCACACATTAGATTAGAGAAAGAGCAAGTTTGGAGAATTTCATCTATAGTTCAGCACAAGTGTGTGTTTTTTTAAAAATTCTTTTAAAGAACCTAAAACGTTGGACAAAAACATACGATTACTTTTTTTTTTAAACAAAAAAAAATCTATATTCTGGGATCATGCAAGAAATAATCTCTCTTTCTTAAGAAAAATGGAATAAGGTGTTTTGTTGTTTGTTGTTTATATAAATGCTTCCCCAATTCAAAACTGTCCAAACCAATGTGACTGTACCGCAAAAGCTCCCTGAGGAAAACGTTCGTCCCTCTCCAGTTATTATATTGCTTCTGGCAGAGTTCGAATCTTTGGGAACGTTCAGATAGTAAGAGAAACTGCAGGCATTTATTTGCTAATGCAAACAAAAGGTACGCAGCACAGCCCTGGACAGCCCAAGCGCGCTATTCCGCGCACGTGCTTGCAAGGCGATACTGGGGGGCGAGAAAGAGGGGGGGGGAGACACTTAGCAAATACAGCGCGAGAGGATAAATCAACGAGGTGGCTCAAAAGGCACAAGTTTGCATTGTTTTCGGCCCCCCCCCTTCTCGGTTTTGGCACCGCTCCCACCAGCATCTTCCAAAGAGGCTGCGACTGCAGAAGCCCGAGGCGAAGGCACCACAAGGCTGACTGCAGGACTGCAGTCAGGAGAATCTTGGCACGCAGCAACCTTCCTCCACCCCCCCTCCCCGCCGCCGTCCAGCCATAGGGTGGGGTCTTTTCCACACACGCCACCCCGTCTGTAGCATACCCACAAAAGGAAAGCGACGGAAGCGGGGGAGGGGGGGGAGAGATGCCCTCACCACTTGTCCCGGGGGTGCAAGGGAGGAGGGGGGAGAGCATGAAAGGAAGGTGCGAAAAGAACCCAGTGCAGGACCGGGACGCCCTTCATCACGCTCAGGGAACAAGGCATGAGGTGAGAGCAGGAGGCGCCGGAAGGCCGCACCTCGCGAGGGGCCCGACTAAAGAGCCCCGGCTCTTACTCCTGAGCCTTAACGGCGACTGGGGGAGGAAGGGCTTCTTCTGACAGACAAAAGGTAGGAAAGAGTTTATTACTGCGGAGGCGCCGGCTACGCAGTGCCCTGCCTCAGGAGAGGCCAGTAGCCGCCGCAACAGCAGCAGCACCCGACGCCGCCGCCACGCCCCACCCCGCCAAACTTCTCCCCCTCCGCCCCCCCACGAGAGGGCGGGATGGCAATGGGGGAGGCAGGTGCCCGCGCGCTCCCCGGCAGGTGCTCGGGGCTCCCCCCCCCGGAAAGTTTGCGCGCGAAGATGCGAAGCGGAACGTCCTCCAGAAAGAGCTGCTTACGCCCTCGCCAAACCAGCAGCCTCTTCCAGACACGCGCCGTGGGACAGAGACTCTCGTACCTTGGAGGAGTCCTCCGGTTCTCCAGCCTCGGGCGCGGCTTCCGTTGGCGTCCGCCCTCCCGGACTCCCGGGCTGGGAATCTCCCGCTGCGGTGGTCTCATCCTGCGGGCTCCGCGGTTCCGTAGAGCTCCCGGCTCCCATGTCTCCCTCTCTCTCTCTCTCTCTCCGGCGTCCGTTTCTCCAACCTCTCGGGTTGAGGAGGGGAGGCGCGACGCTTTTCAACCCAGAAAGAGAAATAGGCGCTAGCAATAATAGAGCCGTCCAGGCAGCTGCGCTCTTCGGCGCCTTAACTTCAGCTGCTCGGGAAAGCGGTCAGGCTGCGACTGAAGCAACCCAGGAGGTTTCTGCAAACTCCTTTAAAAAAAAAAAAAGAGCCAACAAAACTACCTCCTCCCTGGTCCCCCGCCCGCCTCTCCCTCCTGCTCCATCACATGAGCAGAGCCGCGGACACGCCTTGCAGCATCAAACCTGGGAATCAAGGAAGAGCCGGGCGAGGAGGCAGGCCAGGGGAATGGCTCATCTCCCAGCACCTTTGGCCGAGGTAGCGCTGTCTGGGTCTCCCTCTTTCCCACCCTCGAGGTTGTCCTTCGAACCTTGTGCCCAGGTTCAAGAGGATGAGAAGTTACTCCGACCCCATCACTCCCATGAATGGACTTTCATCTCTGAATTCCATCATAAAAGGAGTGGAGGGGTTGGGAGGAGGCTTTATGGAGCATCTGACCTTCAGCTTTCAGCTGAACAACCTCTCCCTCCCTTCCCGGCCTTGAGAGATGCATCTGACTGCTCTAACACGCCTACTCTTCTATCCAGGATCTAGGAATCATGGATTGGATTTAGTGCAACTGTCTCCTAAGTGAGGCTTCTCACACTTAAAGCATGGCAAATCGGGAGTGTAGTCTAGTTTTAATCTGGTAATTTTTCAAAGGAGGTAATTGGAGGAGAAAGTCAGATCATGTAAAAAGTGCCAACATCTGTCATCACTCAAGCCACTTGATCCTTGCATAAGTGAACAATACAAAATTGTTACCCAGGGGTATCGTGGGATCAAGCAACAGCAAAGAAAAATGACAGGTCAGCAGCGTATGATTTAGAATTAGATGGAAGGTTTTGTGGAACATGAAATAACTCACATTATGAATTTCTTTTAAAAAAATAAAACACCAGCCATTATCTCATTATTACTAAACTCTGTTGAGAGGACAGTAGTCGAATTCAGACATAGTCTAAAATAGTCTATAAAATAGACATATTGTATTCTGTGAGGTTTAAATACTGTTGATTTCATTGATCTACCCTTATGTTTAAAGTTTTAGCTGTGCTTAAATAAGCCCTGAGATTGCTTTCCATTGTGGATGTAAGAAAGGTTATGAATGCTTGAAAAGGAGTGAAAAGAGAAAAGAAAAGATTTTTAGTCAAACCCTGAAAATTAAGCCTTCTTTACAATGCTAGTTATCTATAGTATTATTAACAATTATCCTTATGACCTTAGAATAAATTGTTATATAAACATTCAGCTGTGTTTTGCTAATGTTTTACATATTGGGATACCTATATTCAAGTAAAAAAAATTTTACACAAAGACTTCCATAATCAGTGGAGGGGTCAAAAAAGTCAAGATGGCAGCCACAGTAGCATGACTGAAGCCCCACAGTAATATTTGCAGGCGGTGTGGATCCATGGGGGGCAGGTGTATTTTATGCAGTTTTCCTATAATAAAAAGTAAAGTATAGATGGACTATAAACATTTCCATCGTTATAATAAATAATGAATAAATTGAATACATGTTTTGGGAAGTAGCTATATATATGTCCCTGTCTTCATTTGATGTGTACAGTTTAGAGTACATATTTGGAAGATGAAGCTGTAGTTCTAAATGTATGTGGAACACAAGTAGCGACACCAATAAGACCTGATTTACTAATTATAATAAAGTGGATTTGTGGATGTATGGGGATTTCCCTAAAATAAAATTTAATAACTTAATTTTTAAAGATGAAATGATCTCTTAACAAACTTACAAACCATTATAAATTCTACAGTGTAATTTGTTATAAAGGTAACAGAAAGAGAAAAGAAACTCATAAAGAAAGGTCTCGACTCAAACCATCACTTACATCAGGATAAATACTTTTTCTCTTAATACAGAATGGGTTCTTTATGTTATTTCCAATTTCAGGTTAAGTTACAGTAGTTTATAAAACCAAGTAAGGAACATGGGATTGTGTGTCCCAATTCTGAATTAATTTAACCTTAAATCTACATATGAAGCAAGTTTTAACTTAAGAAACTACTTTAAATATAAAAAATAAGTTTGATAAACATGTTTAAAAGTGTTATTTTAGTGATTTTAAAAGAAGGGTCTTTTTATGAGAATTAATGAACAATCATATCTTTGCCATAAACTGGCCATAAGTACCATTCCTTTGGCAGACAAGATGGGTCCATTACTGGGTAACATCTACGGAAAAATGTTTTTAGAATTGATGCTCCACTAGTGTTACTAACGGGGGCAAAAACAAATATAAAAGAGGTATGTTGGGTTTTGTAAGTTGCAAAGTTTCCTTTTCTTCCAGCATATCCACAAAGCTGGGCCCAAACCATGGTAATTGTGGCACTGGTGTTATTTACTCCCCCACTAGAATTAGTAATAAGGAAAATGTAGCATCATTTTTGCCCAATGATAAGAGTGTTGTGTCTGATAATATTCCACATAAATATTTTCATATCAGGAAAAATTATCAGTATTGCTAATAACAGGAATTAAAATATATTTGCATTAATTAATAGTCTGTTTGGGCCAGTGATTAAGGCAGTGTACTCTAGTCCTCTCTTAGGCATGAAAGTTGGTTGGGGGACTTTACGCTACTTTGTCTTTTAGTTCAATCCATCTCACAAGACAGATGTTCTTGGGGAAATAGGAGGCAGGAGCATTATGTATACTGCCTTGAGTTGGATAAATTAAAGGTGGGATATAACCATATCGGGTCTATAATCATATCAGGTCTCCTCACTCATTTTTATTAATTATTTTATTTGACTCCTGATTGAAAAATGCCCCCAAAGTGTAGTCTGAATAATATTTGGAAGCAGTTGCTATCAAACTTTCCCGCAGAGGCTCAATCCACATACAAATCTTCAGGAGTGAACGTAAAACATCTTAATTATTACAATACTTACCAAGCCCCTAATACAAGGACAGCACAGGACAACAGATCTTACCTACATTTTCTGCCATCTCTAGGTCCCGTTTCTCAACTATTTTTTTCTGAGTCTTTTCAATTCAGTCTTGCATCCTCCACTATAGCTAGACCCCATATGACTGTTCCTTTTTCTGAGTCTCTTAACTGTTTTTCAATGCCATGATTCTCTATTGGAATACTAGTGCATCATTGGAAGGTCAGTTGATGTCATCATTGACAGAGTGGGATTTTGAACATAACAAAGCCTGTCTTTAAAAGTCAAAATACTGTTAGTTCCTATATCCACACACCCTATGCAACCAATAAGTATTTTGGATTCCCATTCCTTAGGAACTCATATTTATGGGAGAACACTCTTTGCTTATTGTTTTAATGCAGATATTTCCTTTTGGAAGATGCAGCTGGACAGTACAATGATAATAGTACAATATAACTGAATCACCATGGTTGTTAAGCAAACCCAGTTTCTGTAATGGGCATTTTTTTTTTTTTTGCCAGAAACGGAAAGTAAATGCTGGTTTCTGGTGAAAAAATGTCACAAATTGTGATGATATGACATAAGACGCTGCAAACAGACATAAATGTCAGCTGCTTGCCAACCCAATACAGGTAGTTCTCAACTGGCAACTTTAATTTAGCCCCAAATTCCTGATGCTAAGCGAGACCATTGTTAAGTGAATTATACAACTTTTCCTGTCACAGTTGTTAAATGAATCGCTGCAGTTGTTAAGTTAGTAACATGATTGTTAAATGAATCTAACTCCCCCATTGACTTTGCTTGTCAGAAGGTTACAAAAGATGATCTCATGACCCTGGGACACTGCAACTATCATAAATATGAGGCAGTTGCCAAGCATCTGAATTTTGATTACATGACCATGGGGATGCTGCAACAGTTGTAAGTGTGAAAAACGGTCATAAGTCACTTTTTCAATGCTGTTGTAACTTCAAACAGTCACCAAACTTGTAAGTCAATGACTGCCTATATGCGCTTATGTGACCGTGAGAGGCAGCTGTTGGAAATTTGAATCTAGATCCTAAGTACCTTTTTTGGGGTTGGTTGTGATTTTGGTTCCTAAGTGACTGGTTGTAAGTTGAGGAATAACAGTAGTCAGAATGAAGCAGCCATCTTGAGTGACCGATTGAGGAGCACAAAATGGGTGCAGAGGGTTGAAAGTCAGAAATCCATCTGACTTTATTCTATGAGGATAAACTGAAGGGAGTGACTTAAATTTAATGATCTAATTGTAGTTAGTTGGAATTTCATCCGTTTGATGTATTAATTGAAAGCTCTAATGTAGTTTTCTGCCTATAAAGTGGGTTTGAAAACGGGGCTTTTTTTCCTTTTCATATATAATGCTTGTAAAATATTATTGAAAGTGAACTTTAAAGTATATGTCTTAAGAGGAAGTTTAAAAAAAGATGTACTAGAACGTGTTGATTTTAGAATCATTTTTAAAGAAAAGTTTAGAGTTTTAAAATGGATGTTGTGTCCCTGCAGTCACATGATTGTGATTCAGGTGTTTGGCAATTGTCTTGCTGTTACAGCATCACAGTGTCCAACAGTTATGTGTGATGTCAAATGTGACCTTCTTTGGTGAGTTTCTACAAAGAAAGGCAAAGAGGAAGGTGGCAGGAGATTTCAAATGGCGACAATGTGACATTGCACTAACATTGTGGGATTTGCAGAAGGATGAAAGCACCAACATTTGTGTCAGTAACTGGTGCAGTGACATGACATTGAGCTTTAACATGCCAATGAAGATTTTGAGCTCAATTGTAGTCATAAATCAAGGACTCTCTGTACATAGATACACACCAACCCATGCTAATACACACGTAATGGAAAGACAATACATCATAGAAAATAGAGAAAAAAATAGGAAGATAAAGGGAGAAATTGGAGAAGAATCAAAATACAGAGGAGACTGGCTCTGGCCATGTTTAAAGGAACCCTGTTCCCTCAATATATTTAATTAGATAAAAGGGGGGGGGTTAATTAATTAGCATACTCATCTCCAATCTGGAGTAAGCCTAGTTAGATTTGGATTGCAAAAATGGTTTCAATTCTATACATTTCTTTGTTTTGTGCACTGGCCATTTGCTTTTTTGTTTGTTTGTTTGCAGCCAGATCAGGTAAACCTAAGCAGGAATGCACAGTCATGGATAGCCATTGGAAGACTGAAACCCAATCAATTGAGCTATTTTTAAAAAAACAGGTTTTGGTCTCACCACCACCCTCGCCTTCCCAAAAAGAACTGGAAACAAAGGGATTGAAAGATAAATTATTTTATGAGAGAGCTCAGTATCAAGTCCCAACATACTTCCCAGAAATTAATTTGCTGCAACAGCCAAGCCACACTTACTGCAGCCTGGGGATATCATGAAGCTCTGCCATTAATTTCCTGAGAAATAGGTTACCTAATTCCTGGCAAAAATAGTGGGAGATTCTGCATTGTTAAAATGAGCA